CCCCATGTGTCACGCCTCTGTGACTTCACTCTGAAGCCTCACGTCAGGCCTCTCAGACCTCATCTCTTAAGCCTCCGTGTCACTCCAGGCTCTTGTGGGTTCCCGTGACACTTATGGGTGCCTTCATGCTTCGGTCCTCTCTTGCCTTTCGGTCGAACTCCTTCCTGTGGTCTGCCAGGCCCTCTTATTGGCCTCTCAGGAATCTCTCGCAGGTGTGATCAGTTTACTATCAGGTAGGGGCGGAGTCTTTCCAGGACAAGTCACCAAATAAATACCATTAAAACATGCAGTAAAACTCATAAAAATAACCCAATGTACAATATTAAAACATTAAAAAGATAAAACACAACAAAAACATGCACAACAAAAAACCTAGGTAACTTGTCTCTCTCCACCCCGTGACATGTGCTCATGGACTACTTGTCGATGTTGCTAACAGACGTTTAATAGATGCTCTCTCGTTTTCTTCGCTACCCTGTTTTACTCGGGCCGCCGAGCCCCTGATTCGGGCTAATGTAGTGACCTCCGGGGATGCTTTTCAGCGTTTGCTTTTAGAGTTTCCATCGCTGTCTGTCCCTAATTTCTCTAGCACGGTAACGAAGCATGGGGTTGAGCATTATATTCCCACGGTCGAGCCCCCGGTGTTCGCGCACGCGCGCCGCCTCGACCCCGCGAAACTGTCCGTCGCTCGGGAAGAGTTTGCAGCCATGGAGCGCCTTGGCATTGTACAGCGTTCGAACAGTGCATGGGCCTCTCCGCTTCACATGGTGCCCAAATCGGACGGTCGGTGGCGGCCATGCGGAGATTTCCGCCGTTTAAATAATGCCACGGAGAATGACCGTTACCCCATCCCCCACATTCATGATTTTTCTGCCAATCTCGCCGGAACGTCGATTTTTTTCTAAAATTGACTTGGTGCGGGGGTATCACCAGGTTCCCGTGCGCGCCGAAGACGTTCCTAAAACCGCTGTCATTACCCCCTTCAGCTTGTTCGAGTTTTTGCGCATGCCGTTTGGCCTGAAAGGTGCCGCCCAGACCTTTCAGCGGCTGATGGACTCCGTTTTGCGTGGGCTGCCGTTCATTTTTGTTTATCTGGACGATATATTGGTGGCCAGCTGCTCAGCGAGCCAGCACGAGTCCCATCTGCGCCAGGTTTTCCAGCGTTTGGCAGCGCACGGCCTGATGATCAACCCTTCCAAGTGCCAGTTTGGGTTGCCTGTTCTGGATTTCCTCGGGCACCGCATTTCCGCTGAAGGTGTGGTTCCGTTGCCCGACAGAGTCCAGGCCGTTTCGGCTTTCCCGTGTCCCACGTCGGTTAAAGCGTTGCAGGAGTTCTTGGGGATGATAAATTTTTACAACCGCTTTCTCCCCAGAGCTGCCCACCTGCTACAGCCACTCTATGCTGCCTTAAAGGGTAAAACAGCCAAAGATCCGGTTGACTGGCTGCCGGAACGCGTCCGTGCGTTTTCCGCAGCCAAGTCTGCGCTGGCTGACGCCGCCCTGCTGGCCCACCCGCTTCCGTCGGCGGAGATCGCGTTGACCACCAACGCCTCTGACGTGGCAGTGGGTGGGGTGTTGGAACAGCGGGTTTCAGGTCTCTGGCAACCGCTCGCCTTTGTCAGTCGAACGCTCCGGGATGCTGAACGCAAGTACAGTGTTTTTGACAGGGAGTTGCTGGCCCTGCACCTCGCGACACGACATTTTCGTTTTTTCCTCGAGGGTCGCAACTTTACTGCGTACGTTGACCACAAACCTTTGACGTTTGCGATGTCCAAGGTCTCTGACCCATGGAGCACACGCCAGCAGCGCCAGTTGGCGGCCATTTCTGAGTTTACCACAGACATTCAGCATGTGGCTGGTAAGTCCAATCACGTCGCTGACTGTCTCTCACGTGTGTTGGTTTCTCCGGTGTATGTCGGTATCAACTACACTGCCATGGCCGCCGAGCAACGTGCTGACCCGGACGTCCTTGCCCTTCAGTCAACAAAAACGGGCCTCGTGCTGGAGGACACCCCGGGCGGGGGCGTTTCCACCGGCAGCCCCCGCCCGGTGGTTCCCCTTTCGTGGCGTGGTCGTGTTTTTGACTCGGTGCATGCCCTCTCTCATCCCGGCGTCCAGGCCTCGGTCAAGCTGGTCAGCGCCAGGTTAGTTTGGCCCGGCCTTCGCAAGACGGTGAAAGGATGGGCGGCGGTTTGTATCCCATGCCAACGCTCGAAAATCCACCGGCACACACAGGCACCCCTCGAACCTTTCCGTGTCCCGGGTAGGCGTTTCGATCACGTTCATGTGGACCTGGTTGGTCCCTTGCCGCAGTCACAGGGTTTCACGCACCTTTTGACTGTGGTGGACCGCACAACCAGGTGGCCGGAGGCGGTACCCCTGGCGTCCACGACAGCGGCGACGGTGGCCAGGGCATTTTTGTCAACGTGGGTTTCACGTTTCGGCCCCCCTGCTGACATTACCTCGGACAGGGGCCCCCAGTTTGTTTCCGAGCTTTGGTCTGCTATGGCTGACGGCCTGGGAGTCAAGGTCCACCGCACCACAGCATACCACCCGCAAGCTAATGGGATGTGCGAACGGTTTCACCGGTCACTTAAGGCCGCGCTCCGTGCTTCCTTAACAAGTGGCGACTGGGTCGACCGTCTTCCGTGGGTTTTGCTGGGATTGCGTAGCGCGGTTAAAGAAGACCTCGGGGTTTCCCCAGCTGAACTGGTCCTCGGCCAGCCCCTCCGGGTCCCCGGGGGATTCTTACCCGAGAGCCCTCCCCCATGTTTCGATACGTCTTTGTTGCCTTTTCGCCCCCCAAGAGACTCATTTCCTGTTCCTGGTCCTGTGCACCACTGCCTGCCTGACACTTTTGTTCCGAGTTCATTAGACTCTGCTCGTTTCGTTTTCGTCAGGCACGATGCCCATAGGACTCTGCTGCGTCCACCATATGACGGGCCATACAGGGTTCTTAAACCAGGCAACAAACATTTCATTTTGGACTTTGGCGGTCGGCAGGAAGTTGTCTCTGTTGACAGACTTAAGCCTGCACATGTTATGCAAGAGGATCAGGTGGTCCCGGCCCAGGCCCCTCGCTGCGGCCGCCCACCTGCCACCGGGCTGATGGATTCTGTTTTTTCCCCCAGGAGCGACCCAAAATCAACGGAGTCCGAGTCGTCTGCAGCTTTTTCTGTTATTCATGCTTTTATCTCTTCACGACTGGACTATTGCAATTCCCTGTTTACTTGTTTAATAAAGTTCTTTGGAGCGTCTGCAGATCGTTCAGATGCTGCAGCAAGACTTTGACGAAAGCTTCTAAATTTTCACATATAACACCGTTGCTCATGCAGTTACATTGGCTTCCTGTTGAATTTAGAGTCCAGTTTAAGATTTTGGTTTTAACTTTCAAGGCTCTTCAACAACAAGCACCACCATATATCATTGAACTTTTACAGCCCTATGCCCCTAGTAGGTCTCTGAGGTCGAGTAGTCAGGGCCTACTTGTCATTCAGTATACGAGACTGAAAACTAGGGGTGATAGAGCTTTTGCTACTGTGGCCGCCAGACTGTGGAATTCCCTTCCTCAGGACTTACGATCCGCTGATTCATTGATTACTTTTAAAAAACAGCTAAAAACACATCTTTTTAAAACTGCCTTTTGCTAACTTTGTTTGTATTTTGTCTTTTTAATCTGTTATATCTTGTAAAGCACTTTGTGATCTCTATCTAGAAATGTGCTATATAAATAAAATTTTACTTACTTACTTTACTTACTTACTTACCGCCAGTGCCAGCCTCGCTCCCGGGCTGGGTTGCCCTCTGTCAGTTCCCCACCCCCCCAGTTCAGTCGTTCCGGCCGTTTGCTTAAGCCCCCGTGTAACCCAGTTCCTAAAATCATCTCAAACAGAAAGAGAAGAAAAATTAAAACATTTAATGTTCATTGTTCTGTTCTTACTGTCCCGGTTAATGAAAGTGAAATGAGATCAAAATAATTATTTAAACATATGTTAACCATTCCTCGCCGTCAGTCCCCTGACCGTGGTCGGGAGACACGAGGGGAGATGCTTCCTCCAGGGCCGAAGTTTGTCCTCCTTCGGGGTTAACTCCCTTCACTTTTGTGGAGTAGTGAGGCAGACAGAAATCAGCCGAGGCACCGGAGAGTACTGAAGAGATGAGGCTTTAATAACAGTACTGCACACTTTGGAAACACACTGCATAGCCTGTAGCCCGTTAGAACGCTGCTCCCGGTCGCCCTCTACCCATGACACACTCTCTCACTCTCTTTTTCCTCTTTCGCTCCCCGCGTTTTTCTTCACGCGCATGCTCACACACACATTACATACACTCCTTACTGCACCCAGTCACACACAAGACAGCAATTCCTGCAACACTACCCCCACTCTGGATGGCAATTAAACAATAATTCCACTCCAGCATTGTAATGCATAAAACTGGTACACAATCCCCTTTACCACTTGGAGCCCACAGGAGATAAACGTGTTAGCCATTACCGCATATAGGGTGAGGTATAGTATCAACGAGTGCACTTCAGTGACAAAGAGGTTGGCTCAAGTAAGGTGTACATACATGTGCAAAATAAAGCATTTCAAGTGCTGTTAAGTAGAAAAGAAATTACACAATTGTAACTATTACATGGCGACCGGGAATAACCAACTTATCCTAGCATCTAGGAAGGCACAAATACAAATGGATAAGTGCATGTAGATAACCCCGTAGGTCCTTCAGATACTTTTTTAAAAAAAATGTAAACACTGGAACAATGAAAAAAAAATATATAACTCTTTTAAACCATTGTAGCTAACAGTATAGGAGGCTGAAACGATTTAAACTTGAACCGAATCTTCAGTCCTACTTGGAACTGTCCATGGTAGGTAAACCAAGTTAAGTGATCCACACTCCATACCGGTCTGGAGCTCTGCGCCGACGAGTTGGTCGCTGAAACTGCTGGCCCGGGTGGTCTGGCTCACCCACCACACCCCCACCATTCTCATGGTCTACATGGGAAGGGGACGATGGGACAACCACAACCAGAGCGGGATCAGCTGCAACTGAGACAGAAGGCTGAGAGGAGCTGGGGCATTGCCAGTTGCAGTAGAGAACAGACTGTGCAGACCCAGATCACGGTCTGCTGGGTCATCTTCTAAAGCTGGTGGTGGGACCTCTGTAGGGGACCACTGATGAGCCTGATCAAGGACCCAGGTATTGTCCAGTGGCTCGCGGCAGCGATAATGCTTTAGCTGGTCATGGTGGACAACTTTCACTTTAGACCTTGGGTTCTTCTGGATCCGATAAACTAGGTCATCCAATTGTCCCAGGACAAAGAATGGTCCTTCATACGATGGGAGGAACTTTCTGACCTTGTTCTTGACGTGACGTGTTCCTTTGATGAGATACCACACAGGATCTCCAGTCTTATACTGTGTGTGGCAACAGTTCTTGTCATATTGCCTTTTTGCGCGCTTGACTGACTCACCCAGGGCTTCCCTGGCGATGAGGTGGGCCAGCTCCAGCCGCTCACGCATTTGCTGCACATACTCTGGAACTGAGGGTTGGTTGCCTGGATCAGGAGGTAGACCTGCGACAAGGTCCACTGGCTCACTCAGTTCTCGGCCAAACATCATGAAGTTCGGGGTGAAACCTGTAGCACTGTGTTTGGTCGCCCTGTAGGCCATAACAGCGTACGGGATCATCAGGTCCCAGTCCCAATGACAACGCTCTGCTGTGGAGGCCAGGATCTTCTGGAGAGTGGCATTGAAACGTTCAACCTGGCCATCTGACTGGGGTCGGAATGGCGTTGTATGAGTCTTATCTATGCCAAACAAACTGCACACCCCTTGGAACACATCAGATTCAAAATTGCGTCCCTGATCACTGTGTAGTGCTTGAGGTATCCCGTAGCGGCACACCCACTCAGACGCAACGACCTCGGCAACGGTTGCAGCCCGTTCATCTGGGATAGGAAAGGCTTCAGTCCACTTTGTAAAGTAGTCTTGTATCACAAGCACATATCGGTTTCTGCGCTCTGTCTCATTCAGTGGTCCCATAATGTCCAGCGCAACGCGCTCCATTGGGGCTCCTACCCGGACAGTTCCCATCGGAGCTTGCGGTGTCTTCTGGGGTCGGGCCCTGGATGCACAGCTGGTACAAGTACGGCACCAAAGAGCGACGTCTTCCCTCATGTGATACCAATAGAATCGGGTTCGTAGTCTGGCCACAGTCCTCTCGACACCAAAATGTCCACCCACTGGCCCTTCGTGCATCTGGCCCATCACTTCTGGTTGTAGCTTACGTGGCAGTACGATTTGGGGATAGAACTGGGTCTCGTCAAGGCAGTAGAAGCGACGGACCAGAACTCCATCTCTGAAGTAGAGCCGTTTCCATTGAGCCCAGTATGTCTTAGTTGCTGGGCTGCATGGTGAAACAATAGTCCATGGGGGGCGCTCACTGCTGGCCTCCATCCAGGCGCGTATGGGTGCAATGTCTGCATCAGCGTCCTGGGCTTGGCTCAGCTCCCCCATGGTCCAACCATGAAACAGAGAAGCAGTATCAAGGGTTTTAGCCACATATACTTTCTCAGTCAGCTTTACAGTATGTGTATTAGTGGACATGTTCTGGTGTGATATGTCTGTTCTAGTGTGAATTGTCTGTTCTGAGATGTCTGTGTTGATAGAAGTGTTTTGACATAAAATGTCTGACTTTGTAAGAGCAGTTTGGTCTAAAGTCTTTGTTTCTGGTGTGGTGGTGTTATGACTTACCCCCACTAGACACACCGCTGTAGTAGCCGGTTGTCCCTCCACCCTCACCGGACTCAGCAACAGGGAGCTGGTGTCAGAGTCCAACTCGCATTGAACTGCCTGATGACTGGTCCCCCCGAGATGCTTGGGGGGGTCCTGCACTCTGCATGGACAAGACTGGCGACAGGGTCTTCTGGAGAGGCTATCAGCATTGGTGTGCACTCGACCTGGACGGTGGATGATCTCAAAGTTGTACTCGGCAAGCTTCTCGAGCCATCGAGCTAATTGTCCCTCTGGCTCTTTCATTTTTGTTAGCCACCGTAGACTGCTGTGGTCTGTGCGCACTTTGAAAGGCCGTCCAAGGAGATACTGGCGAAAGTGGGACGTGAAATCCACGACGGCTAGTAGTTCACGTCGTGTGGTGCAGTAGTTTTGTTCAGTTCTTGATAGCTTACGACTGCCATATGCCAGCACACGTTCCACGCCCTGTTGCATCTGTGACAGCACCGCGCCGATGCCAGTGTCGCTGGCATCAGTGTCTAGTGTCATTTCTCCATGGTCAAGTGGATAGCCAAGAACAGGGGCAGAGGTGAGTCGACACTTCAGCTTGTCGAAAGCTGCTTGGTGCTCAGCATGCCACTGAAAATGTGCATTCTTCTTGGTCAGGTTGTGCAGGGGTTCGGCTATAGAGGCAAAATCTTTCACAAACCGGCGGTAATATGAGGCCAGGCCGATGAAGCGTCTGACCTCCTGGATGGACGTAGGTGTGGGCCACATCTGAACCTTTTGAACTTTGCTGGGGTCGGTAGCCACACCATGCTCGGATACCACATGGCCAAGATAAGCAACTTCGCGGCGAAAGAGGCAGCATTTGGCAGGTTTCAGTTTCAAGTTAGCTTGTTGAAGTCTATAGAATACCTGGCCAAGCCGTTGCAGCATCCCCGACACGTCCTTAGCCAGCACGATGATGTGTCCAAGTAGACCAGGCAGGTCTCCCACTGCATGCCAGCCAGGACGCGGTCCATCAGCCGCTGGAACGTTGCCGGGGCATTGCATAGTCCAAATGGCATGACGTTCCACTCAAAGAGGCCTGTCCTAGTGCAGAAAGCGGCGGCCCTGCGTGCTCTAGGCGTCAGCTCAACCTGCCAGTAGCCAGATGCGAGGTCTAATGTGCTGAACCATCTGGCAGTTGAGAGTGTGTCCAGCGTGTCCTGGATGCGGGGCAGCGGGTAGGCGTCTGTTATGGTGCGGTCGTTGAGAGCCCTGTAGTCAATGCAGAGACGGTATGTCCCATCTTTCTTACGCACCATAACGATGGGCGAGGCCCAGCTGCTGCAGCTGCGTTGGGCAAGACCGCTCTGTAGACTGTCGTAGATCTGCTGATCAGCATTTTGCTGCTTTTCCCCTGCCATTCTTCGTGGATTTTGTTTGACTGGGGCACCAGGATGGGTTATGATGTCATGCTGCACAAGGCTGGTTCGGCCCAGGTCAGCAGGCCCTGTAGAAAACACATGTCCATAAGTGCAAAGCAAGCGTTTCAGTTGGAGCTGTTCATAGTCATTGAGGTCTGTGGAGCTCTGGGCATAGAGCTCCTGCAGGTGCAGAGGAACCACAGGAGGGCTGGTCAGAGAGTCTGCAGCTGGGGAGACCATGGAGGGTTCCACGGCCTCAGCTGGCTGGAGGAGCCCGGCAATGGATCCCGCCTTAATTGTTACTGCTTTATTGCCAAGGTTAAAAAGGCGAAGTGGGACAGCTTTAGAAGGCTGTGCGTTGACTAGGACTCTGGCGATAAGTACTTTGTGCTTCTCAACAAAACCTTTGGTGGGACTAAGCATCATGTCACCTCGAGCTGCTGCACCAGGATGCACGTTGCCTTTCACCATATACTCTTGCCCCGGTTCCACCACCACAGTTCTAACTATTCTCACTGCATGTGACTTTGTACTGGCTTCGATTTGGTAGTAGAGCACCTCTTCACCGAAAAGGATGATGCGGCGTTTGCCGAAATCAAGACGTGCTTCAGCTTGAGTGAGGAAGGGATGCCCAAGCAGCACCTCATTTCCTGCTATATCTGCCACCAAGAAATCAACATCCACCTGTCGATTGTTGATATTGACAGGTATCTGGGCTTCACCTAGCACCGGCACGTCCCCAGGTCCCACACCAAGCAAGGTCTCAACAACTGAGGGCTGTAGTGGTGGTCTCACGTCTGGGTGGATGGAGTTGTAGTAGGGCAGCGGCAGCACGCTCCTCCGGGCTCCACTGTCCAAAACAGCACATACCTCCACTTCGTAGAGGCGCATGGGGATACTCATTTCTTGGCTTTGGCACTTAAGGTGGAGCACAGTGGGTTTTGGGCTGTCCCAAGGGCTACTGTTCAATGTTAAGGCCTTGGTGGTTTTGTGAGGAGAAGGGCACTGCTTTTGGACATGGCCCCAACCTTGACAGTTATGGCAGCGAACCCCACTCCTTTTAAAATTTCTGTGATTGTTCGGTGTTGTCGAGGGTCTGTGTGGGACAAAACGATTCGGTGAGGGGCTAGCTGCAGGTGCATGCTCAGCAACAGTCTCATCTCTGTCTTTTTCTCTGACGACGGCAGCTCGGGGCCGGCGTTCAGCTGCGTTACGGGCTCCTTGCTGCATGGCACTGGTTACATAAGATGCAGCCCTTTTAGTGGTTTCGTGTCGGTGGGCTATTTCGTATGCGCAGGCAAGTGTGGCTGGGTGCCTCTCTAGCAACTTCTGTACTATTTCTGCATCACCCAGCCCATTGGTGAAAACTTCAACAGCTATAGAGTCTTGTTCAATCTCTGCTCTATTACCATATGCAACAGCCACTTTCCCATAAATGTCATCTCTGAAAACATGCAGGGCCTCACCAGGTTTACGCACTCGCTGCCTCAGTTCTACAGCAACAGCAGCTGCATGGTCAGAAGAAGCGCCATATGCAGTTTCCAGTTCGTCCACCAGGCGGCGGTAATCCCATTTGGATGAGCGGGGATTTCTGTGGATAATGGCCCCTGCTGCTCCAACTAGGCAGAATTTAAGCTGAGTTGTCATTGTTTTTTCTGACCAATAGTTGGCTTCAGCGCAGCTCTCAAACCTGTGCAGAAATTCCTTCCACGGTGTGGTGCCGTCATATTGGCCCGGACGTAGGGTGGGGACTCTCTCTCTAGTGTCACCATCCTCTTCACTGTCAGATGGGGGCTGACGGGGCACACAGCGGGTCTTGCCTGGTTTCGAGCGGGGTTTATGCTGTGCAGTGATTTCCCCATAGCTAATGGCTTCATTAAGGCTACTGGAAGGCATACATTGCATGGGTGTATTTAACATTGCGTTAAACTGAGCTGGTGTGCTGTGTACAAAACTGTCCATGTGAGCGGAGGAAAATGGGTTTGAGTCTGGATAGTGGATTTTCATTTGGGGAGTAGGAGCTGGATAATAGTTCATGCTGCTGCCTGTGTTTCTCTCACGGCCGTAGCTGCGGCATTCAGCATCAACGAAGGGATTCGTGCGGGAAAACTGCGGCCGGGCAGGACCATCGGGCGGCGCGAATACACACTCTCCATTAGCGTGTGTGTTAGCACAACTTTCGGCACACAGGAATGGGTTCATATGTTCACATTTAGTCACAGCTCTGTCTCTGTTAGCTTCCCTAATGCTCGCGGCACCCTCGGAGACACTGGTCAGCGATATGAACGGGTTGGAGTAATTGGTCTCAAGTCCGTACTTTTCACGAGAATGGCGAGCAGCGGCCATCGCGAGTTAGCTTAGCTGCGGGCTAATACACTTGTAATTACAGTCACTCGGCTTTATCGTTAGCCGCTTTAGCCTGTCGGTTTTTCTCTGTGCTCACCACTTCTTTAACAACGTGAGAGGGTCCCATCTGGGTCGCCAGTGTTAACCATTCCTCGCCGTCAGTCCCCTGACCGTGGTCGGGAGACACGAGGGGAGATGCTTCCTCCAGGGCCGAAGTTTGTCCTCCTTCAGGGTTAACTCCCTTCACTTTTGTGGAGTAGTGAGGCAGACAGAAATCAGCCGAGGCACCGGAGAGTACTGAAGAGATGAGGCTTTAATAACAGTACTGCACACTTTGGAAACACACTGCATAGCCTGTAGCCCGTTAGAACGCTGCTCCCGGTCGCCCTCTACCCATGACACACTCTCTCACTCTCTTTTTCCTCTTTCGCTCCCCGCGTTTTTCTTCACGCGCATGCTCACACACACATTACATACACTCCTTACTGCACCCAGTCACACACAAGACAGCAATTCCTGCAACACATAGAAGGGATGCAGATTATATATGATATGCTCTGGTCAAACAAGGGTTAAGTTTCTCAGAGGGTTGATGAGCTCTGATGAGAGCCTATTGTTTTACTCCACTCCTCACATGTCAGCCAATCGGTGAAGCTCTAGGCAGCTCTTGTCCCTCCTTAGTACCAGCTCCCAAGTTTTCAGTCTCTTGCTTCTACAGCCGAACAGAGCAGATGGACTAAAACTTTTGTTATCGGTAAGCTGGAGAAATTAACCTCTAACGAGTTAAAAGAAATACCATCTAAACTGATATTTTTCACAAATTATGTATTTGCACTTGTTGTTGTCAAGGGCAGAGCGAAACCGGAAGGTTTACTGAGCTGTGGCTCCACGTAAATGCTGAGCATCCACTCGACGGCGGTAAGCTAAATGTGGCTAATCAGACACGTGATGTGCGGAGTGTGGGTACAGTTGTTGCATGTCCCTGAAACGCTGTTGCTATGCTAGTTAGATCATTAACTAAGTCATTAACATGTGAAAAGCTGTAAATGGTTAAAGCAGCTAAAAATAACTTTATGAGAGATAATTGTAATCAGACTTTATCCTGCTTCCTGTTTAAATTTTGATGTCAATCAGTTGTTTTACAATACTCAGTATTGAACACTTGGAGGTAATTTTTAGTGTATTTCCACTTGTACTAGTAGGCCTATGGTACAAGCGGGATTAAGCACGTCTATTTTAATACTCCTATTTGTGGACTGAGTCCTTGTGTTTACGTGTTATTGAAATTGATTATTTGCACTTTGTTCAATTTCTGATAAGCATTTGCATATTATTCCATTTCTTAAAAGGGGTAATATACTTATTTATTTGTGATTAGATATATATGTACAGTGAGTTTATTTTGATCGATGTAATTAATGTTTACAATGAAAGTGAATTATATGGTGACTATAATTCCTGAATGTTTAAAACCTTGTAGATAATCTTTAATGTTACTGCAGGTTACAAATAATTGAACCTTGATACTGTGAAATTTTGGATATTGATACTTTGACCTTTGAAACTTGATATTTTAATGTTGTACAACATGACTGAACTGATGATGATTGAATTGATGATAGCTGATCTGAATAGTAGTTACTGCACTGTGACACTACTTTAGTTTAATTTGTGAGAGTTATCCTTAAAGGAAACGTGACATATATTTGGCCATTGTTTATAGGTCAGGTTTTTATATGGGACGAATCCAAAGACCAGGTCAGCGATTCCAGAACCCAGAGTGTTCCAGTGTTCACTGGATGGCGAGCCAACCCAAGATCCTAAGAGGCGATATACATATACACGCACACTCATTTGCACATTGATGGACTACAATCCTCTACTGTACAAGTAGTACGGTAGGACAGACAATCACACACACACTCTTTGTCGGACGAATTCTATTGGAATACACCTGTTTTTCATGGGCCCCACCGGTACCATTTGGACTTAAAAAAAAGACTAATTCTTTTACTTGTGCACAATTTTATTTAATTCTATTTTTTTGCTACTTTGGGGGAAATTTTTATACTTGACATTCTGTTAAAACCTGTTGTAATACTGTGTTGTTTACAAATTTATTTTACAAGGCTTAACATCACTAAAGTATTTTTAAAAGCCACACAACTGTGTTTGTCTGGTTTCTCTGCCATTCGTGTACCAGAGCTCTAAGAGTCGTTCTCAGTCTTCTGATACTAGCCCAAATTACTTATTACCTTGGTAATTATCCATTGGTACTTTATTTAACTCCACGTAAGTGCTACACCCGGGTCCTGGACTAGTTCTGCTGGGTGTTCGGGGGGGGGCATGTGTGGTGGATCACTAGAGGGCTCCACTCACACCCAGTGTAGAGGAAGTGTGTTCCTGTGTTTTGTGGCGCGATATGCGCAGTTGATGTTGGAGACGAATAAAGAAGGAGTGAGAACTGAGAGCTCTGTGTCGTTGATGCTTACCTCCACAACCTCATATAAAAAAATCACATAATTAATAAAAGATGGATTTTAATAAAATCACAATCAACATGAGTGTGTGAGCATCTTGTTTATTGTCTTTTTCCTACATAAATCAGACTCATTCAGCTTTGCTTTTCTAATTTTTTCCCTTTGCTGTTTCCTACCATTTGAGAACCATTACATAAATGCTGTCTCATCCCATCTCATTCCCAGCAGGATGAGTCAGTGTATTTCCTATTTTAAAATGACCTTTCTAAACTAACTGGCATTCTATTTCCATCTGCTTCTTTGTATTCACACTGCCTCACTGTGGCCTTCTTAGTTGGACCTTCATGCAGTAAGGTTTGGGAGTCATTGTGATCCCAAAGACTGGAGTGAAGTCTGGTTCTCCTGCATCCTCGGGCCAGATGAATTTAAACTTCCTCAGCAGAGTCACCATAATGAGAAAGAGCTCCATGCGAGCCAGACCCTCTCCGAGACACATCCGAGGACCTGAGGCATTGAAAAAGACTGCAAAATTATCAAAACAAAAACTGTTTTAACTGGCCCTGTCTGTCCCCGTCAGTGTGCTCATGTACCTGCAGAGAAAGGCATGAAGGCCTCTGGTTTAACAAACTCTCCTTTGTCATCAAGGAAGTTTTCAGGGTTGAATTCATGAGGGAATTTCCACTGTCCCTCCTCGTTGAGCACTGAGGTCAGATTCTCAATGATCATTGTTCCCTGAGGGGAAAATGAATACAAAGAAAAAATGTCCACCACGGATGCTCTTTATTGCCTCAGTTGTTCAAACATATTTAAAGAGCTGTACCTTACCTTGGGAATGGAATATCCCATGAGCTCTGTGTCTGTAGTTGTGCGGTGGAAGACACTGAGAGGAACAGTGTTGGCAACTCTCTGCACTTCATGAATCACAGCCTGGACCAACAGAAGAGATTGTCTGTGCTTAATCGACTCTGGGAAGACTTCAGGTGCTCAGACAAAAAATACATACGAATAGATCAGGTCGGTCATCTGAGATGATTACACACTGTCAGGTTTTTGATTATCATCAGCATCATCAGGAAGTGATGGAATGGCAAAACGTAGAGTTTCAAACTTCTGTGAGCAAGACTTTCTGCTCCTTTTTCACTTTTATACAAAAAAAACTTTAAAAAGCTTTTAGCCAGTTTTAGACATTATTGGAGTGGAGGGCTCGTCTCCCAAGCAACTGGCAGAATGCTTATAGTGGTGAGATAAGTAATGTAGCCTCAGTGAGCAGTCAGGCAGTCTCCCCTGTATTATCACATGCCTTGTGGTAAATGGACTGATTCTTATATAGCGCTTTTCTACTCAAAGCGCTCTATACAACATGCCTCATTCACCCACTCATAAAAGCACTTCTAAACTCAAGTGCAACCTAAACTACATTCATACACAGATGAACGCATCGGAGGGCAACTCGGGGTTAGTATCTTGCCCAAGGATATTTGGCACGCAGACAGGAGCAGCCTGGGATTGAACCACCAACCTTCCGATCAGTAGCTGATCTGCTCTACCACCTGAGCCACAGTTGTGGTGCAACTACTTATTAGTAGTAATAAATGTTTTGGGGCAGTACACACTTACTCCTGTTAGTTCATGTTCCCTGAGCAGTGGCAGGAGTATTACATTACACGCGCTGTTGGGTACAACCCAGAGCCTCTTCAAACACAGAAGTGTTTTCCTCAGCCAGCTGTTTCCTCAGTTGGCTGTAGCTCAGGCGGTAGAGCAGGTCATCTACTGATCGTAAGGTTAGTGGTTCGATTCCTCGCTTCTCCTAGTCTGCATGCCAAATATCCTTGGGCAAGATACTAACCCCAAATTGCTCTCCGATGCATCCATCGAAGTATGAATTTGAGTGTGAATGTTAGTTAGAAAGCACTAAGAAAATGTGCTTGTGCAAATGCACAAGTTGTGTAAAGCGCATAGAAACAGCTTTAGTGAAGGTTACAAATGATCTTCTTATGGCCTCTGACAGTGGTTGTCCTGCTAGATCTCAGTATAGTGGTCAAAAGGTTTGACCATAATGTATTATTACTGAGAGCTGAACGTGCTGTAGGTATTAAAGCTACTGTGCTGCAGTGGATTGAATCATATGCAATAAAGGTTAATTATGCAGTTTCAAAGGATTTTGTGCTGGGACCAGATCTGTTTATATTATACACGCTACCCTTAGGCAGTATCAGTCAAAGGCACAGCATACATTGTTATTGCTATGCAGATGATACCCAACCTTATCTGTCCATGAAGCCAGATGGCACACACCAATTAGCTAAACTGCTCTAAAATTAGCAACATCCCATTTAAGCATGACACTGAAAAACTAGTTCATGCATTTATTACTTCTGGGTTAATAATTTTAATTCTTTATCATCGGGCTGTCCTGAAAACTCCCTAATAACCAGTTAATCCAAAATACTGCAGCTAGAGTACTGACAGGGACTAGAAAGCATAGCATATGTACCCCATATTGACTTCTCTTCATTGGCTCCCTGTTAAATCCAGAATTCGTATTTAAAATCCTTCCACTCACATAAAAGGTCTTATGTTAAAGACCTCATAGTACCATATCACCCCAATAAAGGACTTCTGTCTATTGGAGTTTCCACCTCCTGTTCTTCATCTGTTCTTATTATTGTGGACCCTAAGCATTTTTTGTGTCCCTTTTATATTAATATTGTTTATTTCTTAGCCTTTTTGTAATTGAATGGATTATACCTCACTCTTCCATAAGGTCCCTTGAATTTTTACAGCTGCCAGCAGTTGTGTCGGCTTTTGAATTAAACACACCATTGAACAACACCTGCTAAACAGAGGGACCTCCAAAGGTTGATTCTGTTCATCTGGACGTAGTTCAACTGAAAATGCTAGATGATTGAGCACGCATCAAGACGTAAACCGAGGGACATTTATAAGTAGAACTGCCTGATGTACAGCACCTGGGTGTAAGGCATCTCGTTCCTGTCTTCAAAACTGGCCCGATACTTCCCTTCCAGTACTTGGTCTATCTCTTGCTGACATCTGTCTGTGCAGACAAAATAAAATAACACAATTCACATGACGGCTTATATAACATGTTGAGACTATCACACTAGGAGAGTTGTTTCCAGCCAACGCATTGTTGCAACTACATTCTTGAAAAAGGAACTGGTTTGATGTTGTCAGTAAAGGAGCATGTCGTGTTGAGAGTGAAGTTATTTTATATGCGTGCAGTGGGGAAAACATATGAAACCTTCTGTATTAATTCACTTCATCTTGTCAAACAATACCAGTCATTAAATACAAAATCCACAGTTGATCTAATGGAAATTATTTCAGCTGACTTCAGTAGGACTCATACCTTTACAAGATGTGATGATATGTGATGCGCAGGGCACTTTTTGACCCCTTCAAATTAGATTCTACTATGTGAAGCTTAAAGTGCACGTGAATGTGACAAACTGAAGATACAGAGCCTGTAGCAGATACAAATATCAAAAAAACATATTATGTCTTATTTACATGTGCAGATTTACCTTGTATGTGTGGGAAGGTCATAAGGTAAAGGAAAGCAGTAAGGAGTGTGTTGGAGGTGGTGTCAGTCCCAGCACCATGAAGATCTAAAGAGTACATAATGAGCTGTTCTTCTGAAAATGAAGAACCGTCATTGCCTCTCTAAAAAGAGGAGAATGATTATTGTAAGACAAATGTCTTTTTCAGTTGTAATAAGGAAATGCATTTTTTAAATGTGTGAATTAAAACTTTATGGATATCTCTCTTTGGTGTTGAGAAGCGTACCTTTCAGTATATCTGAGAGACAGTAAACAGACTAAATCCAGCTTTTTATGTTACAGTTTTTTCTGATTGCTTAAGCACATTTTTTGTAACTATTGGCTAATTTTGCAAAACTCTTCACACAAATAAGAAAACCTGTCACCCAATCATCAAAACATTGTAGTTCTCTTGCAAAAGCAAACACAGCTGGATTAACTCTTCACACCTTCGTAAAAATGGTGTTTCCGTATCAAACAGTACACACAAGCCATCATCTACTAAGCACACAATGCGCCAACTGCACACTGATGGTATGAATAAAAACACATCTGGCTTTTGCTTTCTCTGTGCACAAGGTAGGCTATGTCAGTTTGAGCTCATACTTCTGTCATAGATCCATAAGCATAGAGGGATCCAAACTTCAAGTACTGGTGTTTATTCAAACACATCAAAACAACCACAAGTGTTTATTTCCAAGTATAGGATTATTTGCAATCGCCATAATGACTATATGGGTTACTTGGTCTGCAGTGAACATGCTTCCTCTGCCCCCAGCATCTGGTCATCTAGCAATTCTGTAAAGTAACAATTTCAGTATTTTTACATCAATGGTATTGGTGTGTTTCTCATTGGCATATGGCAGAGCTACAAATCTTTGTGCGAAGTGACTGTACTCACCGATTCTCATTTCAAGATGTCCTTATGGTGCTTGCTACAGTGTAGCGGCTCGAGTTAGGCTGGACCCGTTGGCCAGCTACCCTCAGGGTCATTCCACGGTTGATTACATGGTCCACTATTGTAGCTCTGATGTCATCAGCAATTCTATTTCTTACTCTTCCTACCCTTCCTCTCCCCCCTCCTCATCTTCCTCTCCCCCCTCCTCATCTTCCTCTTGCTCCTCCTTGTCCTTGTCGTCCTCTTCATCCTACTTCTTCCCCTCCACGTCCTCGGCCTCCTCTACTTCTCACTCTTCCTGCTCCCTCCATTGTACTCCGCACACACACAGCTTACCTGTATTATAGTGCTTGGGCTGATTGCAAAGTGAACTAATTATCTAGAAAAGTTTTCACATGTGAAAGTGTGCCAGACAGTTGGCAAATTAGTGTTAATGATAGCCATACATGTGTATACTTTTGCTAGGAGTGTGTTGGAAATTTGGTAATTGAGTGTTGTGCAGTGAATTGTGCCTACAGTTTTGCAAAGCGTGTGTTACAAAATTGCAAACTGAGTGCAAAGCAGTTTTTGTGCTTTTAGTTTTGCAAACTCAGTGAGTGGTTTTGCTATAAGTCTGAATAGTTTTAGAGATTGTGCTACAGGAATCACAGTTAGGGTTTAAGCATTCAGAAAAAACTGTAAAAGTGACACAGAGGGCTCAAACGTCATGTTTCTGTACGTGAGTTTGCTAATTGTAATTGTAATTCTTAATCAAATATATAATCAAAGTATAAGTCTAATTAATATGTTGAATTAGGAATGCCGTCGGGAAATGAAAATGATTATCGTGTCTGGATTTTTTGTGCGCTGGCATGATTCTGCATCGACCCTGTCAGATTAGTGTGTGTGTGTGTGTGTGTTGTGTGTGTGTGTAAGATAAGAAATGTGTCTCCAGCCTTCATAATGTGTATCTAATTTTGCTGACAGGTAATTATGTTTAATACTAGCCCGAATACAATCAAGTATGAGTTTAACCAATACGACGAATCATAAAATATGATCTGAGTAAGGAAATAATAACAGTCCTCTCACTGAGATTCTGTGTGGAGTGGCTTGTTCATGTTAAAGATGACCTTGGAGGCTGTGTGGATGGGAGTGGGGAATAAGCGAGACACTAAAGAGACACTCTGATGTTAACATGTATAATTTGAAAAAAGCTATTCTGAGTATACTGTAATAGGCAAAAACAGGATTATGATTACAGTAATTATCACTAATTCTAACTTTGGTATGTAACCAAGTGCACAGATTTAGAGGTGAGCTGCTGATCATGGCTGTGACTGAGGGGATTTGGGCTCAAATGGAGGGCCATCCTTGCATGCACACCTTAGGCCAGAATGAGCAAGCTCAACATATGGATGACTGAAAAGCAGTCAGAGCTGGGCGAGTCTTCTTCACAATTCCATTATCTAAGCTGTTTTCCTACAAGGTAATATTCATAGACTTAGACTTTTTTAAACAGAACCAATTATAGACGTTCCTGTATTGGGTCAAAATTCCACAGTGGAAAAGCCAGGATTCCACGAATTCAAAAGATTACACTGGTTAGATTTGATTCTTTTCACACTCACACACCTTCTCAAGTTCATCCAGATAGCAGTCAATAAAGTCTCGTGGCTCTCCAGGGACTCTGGTCTTCTTGTGCTCATTGATAAAACCAATTGCAATAGTCCCATAAGTCTAAAAAGCAAAAGCTGTCATTCACAAAGAAACAAAAACATATTCTTCCTACTGATAAAGTTTTTGTTAATATTACCTCAAAATTCTCAAAGGCCTTTTGAAACGGCAGTGGCAGGTTACGAATTATAGGGAACGAATCATAGAGCTGGAAAGAACGATAAGTGAGTTTTGTTTAATTGGGAGCAGAAGAGGCCAGTCCAGATTGGTAAATATACAGCTGTATATGTAAAACATCTGTATATTAGTTTTGTTACTGGTAGAATTGTGGGTTTAAGAGCTCAATATAAATTATATACTTAATTGAGCTTTATTACTTCATAAAAATGTCCTCACCATAGCCCACGGTCCAACGGCTAGCTTGGAGTTCTCAGTGAAGCACTGAACAATCTGTTTGATTAGCGCATCATCATACTCAAAGCGTCTCGCAAACAGAACCTGGCAGATGATGTTGGAGGCAGCATTGTGAAACATAACTCCAGGACTCATGGTTTTACCTGGTAATGTAACACAAAACATTACAGAAATAATGGCACAGCACAAAATTCAGTTATGTGGACACTTACCAACGCTCTCTTTCAGCGTACTAACGAGGTACTTTATCTCTTCATGAACCCGGTCCTCCATTGAGTGCTTCCCCAGACCAAAGTTCCTCAAAGTCATCAGAGCAAAGCGACGATGTTCCCTCCAACTAGAGCCATAATCTACCAAAACGACACCTACGACAGTAATAGCGACAAAGAAGGGAAGAACGTTTGGATAATCAATGGTGGCATTTTGTTCTTTCTCAGAGAATCTCGACTTTCTGGCTCATTTCATCTTTTATTTATGTCCAGTTCAATACAGCTCGATACACCAGCATCTCACTGGAGTTTCACTGCAGTCAGAAAGGACTGTTAACATCTCTAGCATGCATGCTAAAATTCAATTATTATTTAAACTGTGAATGATGCAAAGCCAGTCGAGTCCAGTTCCAGGATAACTACAAGGATCTTGAAATGAGAATAACAGGTCCATTGATAGAAGCTGCTCTGGGAATGCTAGACTCTTGCTGAACCTACAGGCTAGTACCATATTTTTTGGACCATAAGGCGCATTAAGCGTAACAAAACAGATAAGTCAAACTTTACTCAACTCATTCTTCTTGTTTCCTCCACTTCTGTACCATTGATTCATCAATGATGAATTCTCTGGCCGCTGCTCTATTCCCATGTTGTTGCAGTATATTAATGACTAACCTCATATTGTGGATGGATTATCTCAGTTGTTCTCCTGACTGAAGTTTGGTCCGTTTACAGCATCCTGCCATGCGATTGTGTTTGCAGGAGCCTTGCGATCACTACGGTAGCCGTAATGCTCCCACAGTCCATCAAGCGGTGCGGCTTCATAGCTTACCAAAGTCGTACTAAAACATTTGTTGACAGATTTTTGAGTGTACCACATAAAATCAGTTCGAGGTCAGTAAGCACAACCAGAATTCATATATAAGGCACACTTTTGAGAAAAGGATTTTGAGTGCGCCTTTTAGTCCAAAAAATACGGTACAACAAAAAACATCTCATTAATTAGAAATAACAAACAAGATGAACCAATGTGGTTTGAAAACTTAGCTCAGCTTAGACTCATCTTAGAATTTAGATTCAATTTATAACTTATTGCTTTTTACATGATAGATGAAGGTTATCAATAATAACGTAGCTTGTTGTGTTTTTAATTTGCATTCATGTATTTGTGTTGTTTTCTGTGATAAGATGAAGTATAGGACAAAGACATATTAAAGAGCAGTTTAACCCATGTCTGTTTTCTTACCATGATTATTTCCAAAACGATTCGTGTTTTCGTGTTTTCCCCTATGTATGCACTAAATAATAACACACTAAAACCTCCAAGATCAGTATCAAATATACTACCAGTCTGGTCTGGTACACTACCAAGTTTGGACACGCCTTCTCATTTAATAATTTTTGTTTATATTTACTACTTCCTACATTTTAAATAAATACTGAAGACATCAAATATATGAAGCAAGACTTATGGAATTATGTAGCAAAGGAAAAGCTGATAAATAACTCTAAATGTGTCTTATATTTTAGATTCCTGTAAGCAGCTGCCCTTTGCTTTGTTGACAGCGCTGCAAACACTCGGCCTTCTCTCAACGAGCTTCATGATGTCGTCACCTGAGATGGTTTCACTCCACAGGTGTGCCTGTCAGCGATCATTTGTGGAATTTGTTGCCTTGTTAATGGGGTTGGGACCATCAGGTGTGTTGTGCACAGCTGACAGCCCTATTTGACAACTGTTAGGATTCATATTATGACAAGACCCAATCAGCTAAGTAAAGAGAAACAACAGCCCATCATTACTTTAAGAACTGAAGGTCAGTCAGTCCAGGAAACACTAAAACTCTGAATGTGTCCCCCAAAACCATCAAGACTACGATCAAACTGTCTGACATGAGGACGCCCAGGAAAGGAAGACCAAGAGTCACATCTGCTGCTGAGGATACGTTCATCCGAGTCACCAGCCTCAGAAATCATTAACAGCAGCTCAGATTAGAGCCCCGATAGATGCCGCACAGAGCTCCAGTAGCAGACACATCTCTACATGTTCAGAGCAGACTGTGGGAATCAGGCCTTTATGGTCAAATAGCTGCTGAGAAACCACGACTGAGGAAAAGCAACAAGCGGAAGAGATTTGTTTGGTCTGACAAACACAAGGACTGGACATTAGACCAGCGGTACCCAACCCCCGGGTCACGGACCGGTATCGGTCCGTGAGTCATTTGGTGCAAAGGTGGAGCATGAAGGAGGAGGTGTGATGGTGTGGGGGGGGCTTTGCTGGTGACACTCTTGGGGATTTATTCAAAACTGAAGGCACGCTGAGCCAGCACGGCTACCACAGCATCCTGCAGCAACATGCCATCCCATCATTTATGTTTAACAGAGCAATGACCCCAAACACACCTGCAGGCTGTGTCTGGGCTATTTGACTAAGAAGGAGAGAGATGCAGTGATGTGTCAGATGGCCTGGCCTCCACAGGCACCTGAACCCAGTGGAGATGGTTTGGGATGAGATGGAGCGCAGAGTGAAGGCAAAGGGCCAACAAGTGCTCAGCATCTCTGTGAACTCCTTCAGGACTGTTGGAAACCATTTCAGGTGACGACCTGATGAAGCTCACGGAGAGAAGGCCAAGAGTGAGCAAATTTCACACTTTCTTTATTTAGTAAATAAATCCATATGTGTTTATTCATAGTTTCAAGTAGTCGTGACAGTAAAGAAAAAACATTAAATGAGATGGTGTCTATATTTTAATTTTTTTGTTGTAAAATATTAGGTGTATAAAATTCATATGATAGATAACATCTGTTCTACCTTTCCTTTTGGTGACATCATTAATAAACAAGTCTTGGGGTCGTCCAGCAAAATCAGCAGCCTTAGTCACCATCGCCTCCTTTACGGCCTTCAGCCCATTGATGACTACAGCTGGTTTCTGGCCAATGTAAATACTGTAGACATCTCCATAAGACTTCCTCAGCTGGGAGGGAACAAAATGACATGGCAGTTTTTGAAATTTATGAACCAGATACTCAGGTGGACATTTCCCTCCAACACGGTTAAACATTTCTGTCCAGTAATTTCAGTTATTCTGTGGAGAGAAAAAAGCATCAAATGAACTAATCCTGAACATTTCATGGAGGGATACAGAGGAAGCCCACATATTTACAGTGGGACATGCTTACATTTGTGGATCTGTGCCACAAGTAACATGACAGTGACTGAAATCATTTACACATATTCAGATCAACATTTCTTTCTAAAGGACTTAAACATATTTACCAAATTAGTTAAGCTAAGTGTTTCGGGGGAAGTACCATATAAAGTTTATATATGCAAAAGTTAACAGTCATGACATAAAAGGAACTGTACTGGTAACCAGTAAGTTGTTTATTGCATAAAGGTGCATGTTTAGCATGAACTTTCACAATTATTTAGGGTTTTACTCATATTCTAAAAGATGTTAATGAGTGTGTGACCGATTAGAGACGCAGGTGTTATTATAGTCTCCATTTCCTAATTAGTTTTTTTTTTTAATTTCTTTAGTTTTTCCAGTGTAGTTTAGTTTCATGGTGGCATTTTCACTTTCAGTGTAAGATTTTTGGATTTCAAATGATTTCATTTACCAGTCACAGATGTTAATTTATATTAATTAATAAATCCACTAGTGGGATAAGAATATGACATTTAAACACATTTCATTGCAAGGTTTTTCTTACCCTCTCAAAGTCCTTCAAGGGGTTCTCTAAACTCAGCTGCAAAATGGTTCCCAGTATGGGAAAGACTGGGGGTCCTGGTGGGAAGTTCTTTGGCCTCTTGGATTTGACCTGAAGGATGATAAAGAAAACGCAGATCCATAGCAGCACAACTGAAAGAAACATGATCATATGAGTTGGACTGCACTGAGAGCAGTAGCTGGCTGACCTGATTATATACGCGTAACTCAGCCAGCTGTTAACCCTTTGCTCTATGTGAAAGGTTAGTCACAACTTTGAAAGAACAGCACACATTGCTCAACCACTTTTAGCGTGCATATAGGCTACTGTACATCAGTACCTGTCTTCTCTAACAATATGCAACAAGAAGCTGAGGTTATGAAAGAACAAAGATAAGGGGATCTCTCTTTATGATCCTTCACTCCACAGTTAACGAAACATGTCTCAGTCTTAAGGTGGTCATCGATGTGTGAAGCATCTTAAATATACCACAGCCCTTAGTTCACTGTAGAGGCTAGCTGGTTGACATGCTACAATCTAATAGCTCAACTGTTCTGCCTCTGTCTTTTGTCCTATGAACATTGATTCTTTATATTAAACGCGAGTGAAGACGTCACATAAATATGATAGAGCCAAAGGAAGTTTTTGGTTTCTATTCATTCGTTGGTTTCTCCACCTCTCCAATAATTTGCCATATTTCTTTTTCAAGGATTGGCGAACATTGGGAGCCTAAGAGCACTGCACTGTGTGCTGTGATTACGTGTGATGGGTAGACATGATGGAGTATTGCAGGAGTAAACAAAGTGAATGCCTAATTTCTCAGATGTGGTAAAAGTGTGGGAAATATTTTAAAATTTCCTGAAATGTTGAAAAAATGTTGAAACATTGTGGAAGATGTAAAAGTAAAGACATTAGTTGGAAAAGAATTCAATTCAATTCAATTTTATTTATACAGCACCAAATCACAACAACAGTCGCCTCAAGGTGCTTTACATTGTAAGGTAGACCCAACAATAATACATACAGAGGAAAAAACCCAGTTGTGATCCATAGCAGCACAACTCAAAGAAACATGGTCATATGAGTTGGACTGCACTGAGAGCAGTAGCTGGCTGACCTGATTATAAATGCGTAACTCAGCCAGCTGTTTACCCTTTGCTCTATGTGAAAGGTTAGTCACAACTTTGAAAGAACAGCACACATTGCTCAACCACTTTTAGCATTCAGAGGCTAGTGGTGTCTATTCAATGCCTTGTTCTCCGCTTATTTGTTCTTTTTCTTTGTACTGGAATGGAAACCTTTGGTAGTCTAAGAGCACTGTGCTGGGTTTGATTGATACAGATGATGGAGTATTACAGGGGTAAAGAAAGTGAATGGCCTAATATCTCAGAGGTAGTTTATGAAAGAAAACTGTGAAAAACCTTTGAGAAAATATGCTGAAATATTTGAAAAAAATCTTGAAGAATTCTGTAAGATGTTTAAAGTCAAGACGTTGCTGCTGCCCTCACCATGCGATGTACAGTTTACACGGACAGTGAGCTCAACAAGTGTCCAATAAAACACTTGAGACCAGAGCAAAGTTTGAGGTAGTTTACTGGACCATACTTGTTAAACTGTAAGCAAACATAGATAAAGATAAAAGACAATTTCAGTGTAAGTTCACATCAGTCGCACACCCAATTCAATATATGGTCAAGTAAAGTAACTCTGCACGGTTTGGAAGCCATTTAACAGTGACATACTTAGTTCTGACTGGATAGTACCATCTGCCTCACTAACTATAATCATGAGACAATTAAATTACAAGAAAATAACAATCTGTGAATCATGAAATCAACTGAAACATACTTACAGATTGTACAAACTCAACATCAAATAATGCCTCTTTACACTGCTGTGCCCCAGAATAAAACGGTGGATCTGTTTTATATGCAGAAGTTTAAATTACTTTACTGGGATCCGTACACTCCCGGCCTGGCATCTATAAGATGCCAAATCCAGAAACAACATATATACACTAACAAACACAACAAGCAAACACAAACAAGAAGAATGACCTCTGACACAGGTCTCGGGAAAAGTCACCATTTCTGATAATCTTTAATAACATGATGTTTACCAGGAATGAGTATCAGGCGTGATTCATCTGATGTTAGCTGGGCTCTTGTTAACCACCCGACAACTCTGAGATGTTTCGAGGAAAGGTTGTGCTTTGCTGAGTTGGCTTGATTAGCCATGAGGAAAAGACTAGCTGGTCAGCTGGATTGTTGTCGGTATACACATACTTCCATTGTCTTACTCTTGTGAACTGTTTGATCTGTTCTTTTCAAACCATAGATGGCCGCCACTGGAGATCGGCCATTACCAAACACATGGACCTTCATCTGAAACTCAAGGTTGAGGTCACAAAACCACAAGACAGAAATAATACCAAAGTTTTTCTTTGGGATTCAAGAAGCTGTGGAACATTTGCTGAATGTCAGTTAAACTGCAAAAGGTTCGCACTTGAAACAGATAAGCAAAGCGAACAGGCTGTTATTTAGACCTGAGCCTGGCGTAGCACATGAAAAAGGGACATATTATTGTACTGAGCGCTGAAGTCAAACACTCCCTTGATTTGCCATGACTACTGCGGATGACAGACACCAAACCTTGATAAGTACCAGCATTCTTTACCATGTAAGAAGAATCTGGTTGACCATTGCAGGACATCTTTTCCATGAACTGTACATAGTGGCCTTTCATCTCTGGCTTCCTTCCTACACCAAAGAGACATGAGACGTTTGAGGTCTTACTTCCTGTTGTAATAGCTGACGCTGTTTCGGTGACTGAAATGGGAGAGGGCCCACCCAACTGTCAGATCGATCCTTGACGAATTCATATGCAAAGAAAAAGCTTCTTTTCAAATGATCGTGACAGCTTATTATCCTCCATTGTTAACTAAAGATCTGCTTTCCAAGGTTATCTTGAACTGGCTTTCCCCTGTGAACCGCTTTTTGTGTCTAACCGTTCTTCCCCACTCGGTGACACACCCGCCGGGGGTCAAACTCTGGTAATTGGTAATTCTGTTCTCAGACATGTGAAGCTAGAGACACCGGCAACCATAGTCAATTGTCTTCCAGGGGCCAGAGCAGGCGACATTGAAGGAAATTTAAAACTGCTGGCTAAGGGTAATCGTAAATACAGTAAAATCATAATTCACGTCGGCAGTAATGACACCCGGTTACAACAATCGGAGGTCACTAAAATCAATATTGAATCGGTGTGTAAATTTGCCAAAACAATGTCGGACTCTGTAGTTTTCTCTGGTCCCCTCCCCAGTCAGACCAGGAGTGACATGTTTAGACGCATGTTCTCCTTAAATTGCTGGCTGTCTGAGTGGTGTCCCAGAAACGATGTGGGCTTCATAGATAATTGGCAAACCTTCTGGAGGAAACCTGGTCTTGTTAGGAGAGACGGCATCCATCCCACTTTGGATGGAGCAGCTCTCATTTCTAGAAATATGGACAAATTTATTAAACCCCCCAAAATATGACTATCCAGAGTTGGGACCAGGAAGCAGAGTTGCAGTCTTACACGCCTCTCTGCAACTTCTCTCCTCCTGCTACCCCCCAAAAACCCATCTCCATAGAGACTGTGTCAGCTCCCAAACAGACAAAAAACAAACTAAAAACCAGCAACAAACAACTTAAACATAAACAATTACAAAGAAAGAACAATACAGTATCCACATCTGAACCAAAGAGTAAAACAGTGAAATGTGGATTATTAAATATTAGGTCTCTCTCCTCCAAGTCTCTGTTAGTACATGACTTAATAATTGATCAACAAATTGATTTACTCTGCCTTACAGAAACCTGGTTGCAGCAGGATGATTATGTTAGTCAAATGAATCAACACCCCCGAGTCATTCTAACTACCAGAAACCTCGAAGCACAGGCCGAGGGGGAGGTGTGGCAGCAATTTTTCACACCAGCCTATTAATCAACCAAAGACCCAGACAGACTTTTAATTCATTTGAAAGCCTGATGCTTAGCCTCGTCCACCCCAGCTGTAAAACTCAGAAACCAGTCTTACTTGTTATCATCTATCGTCCACCTGGGCCTTACACAGAGTTTCTGTCTGATTTCTCAGAGTTTTTATCTGATTTAGTTCTGAGCTCAGATAAAATAATTATTGTGGGTGATTTTAACATCCATGTAGATGCTAAAAATGACAGCCTCAACATGGCATTTAATCTGTTATTAGACTCAATTGGCTTCTCTCAACATGTAAAAGAACCCACCCACCACTTTAATCACACTCTAGATCTTGTTTTAACATATGGCATAGAAACTGAACATTTAACAGTGTTTCCTGAAAACCCTCTCCTGTCTGATCATTTCCTGATAATAATAATAATAATAATAATAATGGATACTTTATTGATCCCCATGGGGAAATTACTTGTTTTTCTCTGCATTTGACCCATTCACTCAGTGAAGCAGTGGGCAGCCCACTAAGCAGGCGCCCGGGGAGCAGTGTGTAGGGACGGTACCTTGCTCAGGGGTACCTCAGGGTAGCCGTTAAGTGGATTCGAACCGCCAACCTTCCGATCATGGGGCGACCACTTTACCTACTGAGCTATCCCTGCCCCCCGATAACATTTACATTTACAATAATTGATTACACAGCAGTGGAGAGTAGACTTTATCACAGTAGATGTCTTTCTGAAAGCGCTGTAACTAAGTTTAAGAATATAATCCACCCACTGTTATCATCTTCAATGCCCTGTACTAACATAGAGCAGAGCAGCTATCTGAACGCGGCTCCAACAGAGGTCGATTATCTTGTTAATAATTTTACCTCCTCACTACTTACGACTCTGGATACTGTAGCTCCTGTGAAAACTAAGGCCTCAAATCAGAAGTACCTGACTCCGTGGTATAATTCTCAAACACGTAGCTTAAAGCAGATGACTCGTAAGCTGGAGAGGAAATGGCGTGTAGCTAATTATAGGCCAATCTCCAACCTTCGTTTCATATCAAACATCCTTGAAAGACTAGTTGTCAAACAGCTAACAGATCATCTGCAGAGGAATGGTTTATTTGAAGAGTTTCAGTCAGGTTTCAGAGCTCATCACAGCACAGAAACAGCTTTAGTGAAGGTTACAAATGATCTTCTTATGGCCTCTGACAGTGGACTCATCTCTGTGCTTGTCCTGCTAGACCTCAGT